ATACTATCTTGATTACTGTAGCTTTGTTGTATAGTCTGAAGTCAGGGAGCCTGGTTCCTCCAGCTCCGTTTTTCTTTCTCAAGATTGCTTTTGCTATTCAGGGTCTTCTGTGTTTCCATAGAAATTGTAAAATTTTTTGTTCTAGTTCTGTGAAAAATGCCGTTGGTAATTTGATAGGGATTGCATCAAATCTGTAGATTGCTTTGGGTAATATTGTCATTTTCACAATGTTGATTCTTCCAATCCAAGAACATGGTATAACTTTCATCTGTTTGTATTGTCTTTGATTTCTTTCATCAGTGCCTTATAGTTTTCTGCATACAGGTCTTTTACCTCCTTAGGTAGGTTTATTCCTAGGTATTTTATTCTTTTTGCTGCATTGGTAAATGGGAGTGTTTCCTTGATTTCTCTTTCTGATTTTTCATTGTTAGTGTATAGGAGTGCAAGAGATTCCTGTGCATTAATTTTGTATCCTGCTACTTTACCAGATTCATTGATTAGCTCTAGTAGTTTTCTGGTGGCATCTTTACAATTTTCTATGTATAGTATAATGAAATTTAAACTGACTGCTTTGGTAAAGACAAAGGTGGTTGCAAAAAATTGCCGTCAAAGTTAGTGTGGGTGAGACAAGCATAAAAGATTGGGAAAAAGAATAAAAATCTCAAGGGATACTACACTGAGATTGCTTTGCAAGTAGCCTTAAACTTTTGTTTGGCTTTCAAGAAGCCAACACTAGAAATCATAGATAATGCATTATGGTTATGGTTGAAGCAAAAAACCCAACTTAGAGCACCAATGAGGGGATCCACATTTAAAAAAGTAAATAAGGCTTAGCCCAACATCAAAATACTGGTGTATGTAAGTACATTTTTAGGGTTTAATTAAAATGTTAATGTGCGTATCATTTTTAATGATTCTCCACTTTAATGGGCTCTTTTCTCTCTTAGCTTTGAGATATAATTGACATATAACATTGTGTAAATTTAAGGTGTACAATGTGATGGTTTGGTACACATATATATTGTGAAATGCTTACCACAGTAAGGTTGGTTAACCCATCCTTCCCCTCACATAAGTGCCATTTTGTTGCTATTGTTAGGGTGAGGAGATTTGGTACCTACTCTGATAAGAACTTTCAAGTACACGATACAGTATTGTTAGAAGTAGTGACCATGCTGTACATTAGATCCTGGGAACTTCTTCCTCTGTAATGGGAAGTTTGTACCCATTGCCCTACGTGGCCCCATTACCACCCCCCTAATCCCCCCCAGCCTCTGGCCACTACCATTTATTCTGTGTTCTATGATTTTGGCTTTTTTAGATTCCACATCTAAAAGAGATCATACAGTATTTGTCTTTCTCTGACTTATTTCACTAAGTGTAATGCCTTCAAGGTTCATCAGACGTTGCTGCAGGTGGCAGGATTCCCTTCTTTTTTATGGCTGAATAATATTCCATGGTGTACATGTATGTATATATATACATATACACACACATATATATGTATACACCCCCCCCCCACACACATCTTCTTTATCCATGCATCCGTTGATGGACAGTTAGGTTGTTCCCATGTCTTGGCTATTGTGAATAATGCTGCAATGAACATAGGGGTGCATGTATATCTTCAAGACAGTAATTTCATTTCCTTTGGAAGTGAAGTGGGATTGCTAAAGCGTATCAGTTTTGATCTTTATATTAGTGGGATCATTCCTGTGTTTTCTTTTGTGTCCTCTTTCTTTGCACAGCTGTGTGTCTGTGCTCTTTATCCATACTGTTGTGGGTGCAAGTTGCTCATTCACTCTCATTGTGGCTTAATATTCCGTTGAGTAAATGTATTGAATAGCACAACATTTTCATCCACTCTGTTGTTCATGGGCATTGGGGCATAGTTTCCAACTGGGGGCCCCCTCCCCTTTTGAGGATCCATAGAGAGACACAAGAAGGGGGAAGTTTGAGACTCTTTCATGGGAGGGAACTAGGGGCAAATTCTTATGGTAATTGTCTTAGGACTCACAACAGGGGATTCTCAGAAATATTTGGAGATGAGGAATGGACAGGGACCTGAGTTCTGAAATGTGAGGGGTTGCCTGGACATTTGCCTTCATTTGTGGTCAACACCTGGAGAAGCCTGTTATGCATGGGTTATGAGGATTGGAAACAATACATGAAACACCTAACCTGGCACCAAATAGGCACCCAATAAACGGAAGTGGTGGATATTATTATGCACACACTGAATAGTCACTGTTAACTTTATGAATCGATATTTATGTGTAACAAAAATGGGATATGCTGGGGCTTCCCTGGTGGTGCAGTGGTTGAGAGTCCGCCTGCTGATGCAGGGGACACGGGTTCGTGCCCCGGTCCGGGAGGATCCCACGTGCCACGGAGCGGCTGGGCCCATGAGCCATGGCCGCTGGGCTTGTGCGTCCGGAGCCTGTGCTCTGCAACGGGAGAGGCCACGACGGTGAGAGGCCCGCGTACCACAAAAACAAAACAAAACAAAAAAAAGGGATATGCTAATAAGAAAGAGAAAGGTGTGTGAAAAGTTGTACATCGTCCAAGTGGGTACTGTTTTCATCCTCCCTGGAGGCCACAGAGGCCTACAGCAGACTGGGAGGGCTTCAGGCACAGAATACAGCCAAAAGGAACCCTAGGAAGTTCCATTCAACCCCTTCATTTAGCACACAGAAGGTAGAGAGTTCTGTGACTTGTCCCTGGGAGCCTCTGAGTGACTGCTTCAGCTTGTAAAGGCAGAACCAGGAGTCCTGGTCAAAGGAAAGAAGCACACCTCACCCAAAGAGGCAGGGATGAGGGGTGGGGGAATTCATTGGTTTACAAAGTCGATCTGTTGAAGGTTAGGTGGAAGATAGCCTTAGGATCATTTGGAAACCTGGTCTGGAATGTTCCAGGACTCTCCACTCATCTCTTAGTTGGTTTTTTCCTCTCAGAAGACTTTCTTCCCAAAGCAGAAGTAGGCATCTCAGCTTCACTACCGGAGAGGGGCCATCTCACTTCCTCAGTCCCTAAAATTAGGGGGAGGCTCTGATTGGTCTTGTTGGGGCTTATACTTCCCCTTGTGGCTCGGGAAGGAATGCTAGGGTATGCTTTAATTGGCAGCCTCCTTTAGAAATATGTGTTTTTGGGGGAGGACCAGTTCCCCCAAAGAAGGAGAGTAGTATTTCTGGAAGAAGCAATGCGGGGGGGGGCGGGCAGGCAGAAAAACCACTAGGTATCCATGGTTTCAGGTAAGATGCTTTGGATTGCAAGTAACAAATCCTAACAGTGAGGGCAGTTTGTTGGCTCACATGACTTAAAAATTTCAACATTTTGGTTAGGTTCAAGGAACCTAGCTTCAGGAACATTTTGATTAGATTCAAGCTCCTTTTTTCTGTTATTTCCTTTTATTGGATATTTCCTGCTGTGAGTGTTAGTTTCATCCTCAGCCTAGCTTCCAGGACAAAAAAATATTCATGTCATCCACTGAAGTCCCAAGGTTCATTCTGATTGGACTGGGTTAGGTCACAAGTCTAGCCCTGGCCCATTTTGTTGTGGTCAAGTGGAATACACTAGTTGGCTTTTCCTAGATCTTGGTCCACCTCTGGAGCTATGGGAGAGTTGGCTGCCCTAGCAGAGAGAAGCATGGATGCTAGGGTTGGGGAGGAAGCCACAGGGACCCACTTTATCATTAAGAAGACAAAGATAGGTTAAAGAAATTACCCCAGATCACACACCTAGTAAATGGTAGTTATAAGATTTGAGCTGAAGTGAGCTAAAGTCCACTTAATCCCCAAGATCATGAGCATTTGACTAGAATTCCTGTCATATGAAGCTGTCCCTGTTCTCTGTTGCTGCATTACACACTACTTCAAACAGTACTTAAAACAGTAACAAATTATGATTTCTCACAATTCTGCAATCTGGGCCGAGCTCATCTGGGCATTTATTCTGTTCCATGGGGCTGGATCATCCAGGATGGCTTTTCATTCACAGGTCTCGTGCCTCCGTTGGGGTGGCTGGAAGAGCTGGGTGTTTTTAGGCATTTCTCTCTCCACTGAGCTCACCAGTAGGCTAGATAGACTTTTTCACATGGTGACCCAGGCTTCCAAGTATAAGTAAGGCATCACTTCCAAAAGGATAAGCCTCTGCTTATGCCATCCTTGCCCATTTTCACTGGCCAAAACAAGTCACATGGCCATGCCCAGCATCAATGTGGGAAGAATCTACACAAGGTTGTGAATATCAGAAGGCTTAGGTTATTGGAGACCAACCAATGTAATGACCTCAGTGGTGTACTTTTGTCTCCTTCCAATGTAGAAACTATTCTGCCCTAAGGCAAGGAGCAGAAGCCTTTTTTTTTTTTTTTTTAAATTTATTCATTTTTAAAATTTATTTCTTTATTTTTGGCTGCATTGGGTCTTCATTGCTGCACATGGGCTTTCTCTAGTTGCAGCGAGCGGGGGCTACTCTTCATTGCGGTGTACGGGCTTCTCGTTGCAGTGCTTCTCTTGTTGTACAGCATGGGCTCTAGGTGCGCGGGCTTCAGTAGTTGTAGCACGCGGGCTCAGTAGTTGTGGTGCATGGGCTTAGTTGCTCCGTGGCATGTGGGATCTTCCCGGACCAGCGCTCGAACCCATGTCCCCTGCATTGGCAGGCGGGTTCTCAACCACTGCACCACCAGGGAAGCCCCGGAGTTTTATTTTTATTTGGTTTTATTTTTTAAGCATAGGCTGAACTTTGAGTTGTTTGATTTGGTTTCTCCCGCTTAGGTTTTGTTTTGAGAGCTCCATATGTCTAAAGTAAAGCCATGGTAGGATGCCATACCGTTCATCATCTTTTTCAGACACCCAAAGCCTATGTTTTACTCTTGGCATTCTGCTGGGACAAAAAGAGGAGAGTATTTCAGAAGGGACGCCATTTGTCACCCACCCAGTGGTCTCCTATAAGGCTGTTGTGTGTTGTTCAACTAATAAATATCTAATCTCTGCTCTCCCCAGGACCTGGGTGATCTGTCTGCTTTGAGCTGGTTGCAGGCATTCCATGTCTTCTGTTGGTAAGTAAAGCAGCTTTAAAATTGGTATCTTTTTCCTATAAAGCTTGTCTTCCTGATTCTATCTCTTTCCTTCTCCCCTTCTAATGTAAAACCAGTTTGAATATATTCAAGTTTCTAAACTGCAGGGTTAGGATTTGTCAAGCCCAATATTCTTAACATATACATTTTTGTTTTTGGAGGGTGTGTGAGAATGTTTATTTTTATTTTCTGGTTCCCTTCAAGGGACACGGTGCAACCGTTTTCTTAATTCAGTTCCACTTCTTTCCACATATGGATACTGTTTAAAGCTTCGTATTTTATTATCTCCTCTCATTGCTCTTTTATCTCCTAGCTTGGCATTTTTGGAGGAACTTATTCTATTGATGTGTCCACCCCACTTTAGCTGTTTCTCTAACTCTGGTTTCATGGCTCATAAAGAAGAAACAATTTGAGAGCATCACATTCCTGGGGACTCTCGGTGGTAAATGTTTTGAAGTCACATGATGGCTCCGTCCAGTGGATTTCCAGACTGTTTGCAAAGAGTGAGTCAAGTTTCCATCCTGGTCCAGAAAATCAAAATTGGATATCAGTTTCCCTTTCTGAGATGCTGAAGCGTGGAGAATGCCGTGAGAATGCCGATAGCTTTTGGCATCTCTGGGTCTGCAGGATGAATTTCCTGAGGGTTCATTAAAGACTGAGCCTGTATACTGCTCAGTATACTCCTCAGTAGGGTGTTGGTTTCTGGCTCAGTGCAACTGAGAACCGTCTGAAGGGAGATCACATGAAGCTGTGAGATTATTTACAGTTCTTGCCATTTCACTTGAACTGAAGGGTGTTCCAGCCACATGGAAGTAAGATATGGATTCTTCCAGGGCTGGAAGGAATCTGAGATATCAAGTCTATTCTCATTTATTAAATGACCTTTTCCAGCTAAATAAGGCTCTTTCCTGGCTCAGGACAATTTCCACGGATGATTTCTGACTTTGGCCCCCTTTTTGACCTCTAAGCCAAACCCCGTGTATCAGAGTTGATTAAGCCTCCACCTTGGTCTCTCCTGTTAGGGGTTGTGGGAAGCCCTAGCCAGGCCCATTTTTAGGGAAAATTTTGCACCAGCCCCTCAATGATTTGTGTGCCTATCCTTCAGTGTAGAGTTGTTGCTTTCCCAGTCCATATAGATCTAGCTGGAATCATCAGACCGACCATTTGAGTTCTAGCCAATGGAATATGGGCAGAAGTGATGAAACCGCTTCCAGATCTGTCCCCCAACCCCTGCTGAGTGATCCCGTATGTGCATTTTTTCCTAGAATGCCGGCTGATGTCAACTCCCAGGGCCAGGGGATGGGACCCAGGTGTGGAAGAGCCCCTGCCAGCTGTGTCCACGGTGGCTGTGTGAGCCGAGGACTGACTCCTCTGTTCCCCACTGTGTCCCCTGCCCCCCACCACTAGTTCTACCATGGAGCTTATGTAAGAAAAATTCAACAACTCTATATTTTGTTAAGCCTCTGAGAAATTGTAGCACGTTGGTTATGACAGAGAGTATTAGCTGAACTCATACTCAGGGAATTTCTAGTCTTTCATGGGCTGCTGGCCACTACTTCCACCTTGGGCATATCCACTGTGAGGAAAAGTCAGGAGACCTCTCATTGGTCTCAGCTGTTCATTCCTTTTCAAACCTGCTGAAGCTTGTGAGTAGAAATGCTTGATACCCTTGAGTTTCATTTCTGCCTTTCCCTGAACCAAAGGCTGGTTCTTTCCAACCCGGGCCTAAGATAAACTTGCTTTTTGACTACCATTTGCTGTTCTCTATGTAAGTGACGAACGTTAATTAAGTCCCTGTTAATTAAGTCTGTCTAGCCCTGGGCCGGGACTAAGAGAAATAGCAAAGAATCCAGTTTTTCTTCTCAAATTTTATAAATTAAATAGAGAATCAAGAGATCCGTACAGAAATCAACTAGAGGATAATATGATGCCAGATGTAAACATATTCTATAGGAATTCAGCAAAGGGAAAGACTCGTGTGGACTGACTGTGCTTGGTCGGAGAAGCTTTTAGCCGATGGAAGGATTCTATGTGGCCTAGAAGGGAGCCTGGGCACCAGGGTGATGTGAAGTCTCATAAGCCCTGCTTAGCACGAAAAGAGCCCATCCTCTTCTCTCTGGAGCAAGGGAGTTAGGTTTGGCCAAGCAAAGCTGAGGATTTGAGGTGACTGGAGAAGGCCAGAGGGGTGCAGAGAATGACTGGTATTTACACTCTGTTCTCACTGGGTTCCTCCTGGGAGATGAATGCAGGATGGAAAGGGAAGAGCCTGAGGGTTGGTTTCCCTTGTTCTAGGCCTTGGAGGGGACATAACCCCTCTGGGGTCTCTGTCCATAGCACACACTCCCCTCTACCAGTGGTGTGCTGCAGTCAGCTCTATTGGCTCGAGAGGCTTGATGGATACATTTTCAGGAAGGTTGTAGCCAGCTGTTAAGCCCATCTATTAGGATTATAAATTAAACGGTGTAAGTCTTATATAAACTTACAATTTAACAAACTATATTAAAACAAAGATAATCACAACTGAAACTCATCACTTCCCTGGTATTTGCTACAGTTTTCTATTATCTATGCTTTGCAGGTTACTTACAACTGTTGTAGCTGTTTGGTGGTCTTACGGGCTGAATTATGTCCCCCCAAATTTATATGTGATGTTCTAATCCCCCAGTCTCAGAATGTGACCTTATATAGAAGTAGGGTTTTGCAGATGTATTAGTTAAGATGAGGTCATTAGGGTGGTCCCTTCATCCAGTACGCCTGATGTCCTTATAAAAAGGGAAAATTTGGACACAGGCATACATACAGAGAGAGAACACCGTGTGAATGTGGAGAGATCAGGGCAATGCTGCAGAAGCCAAGAAATGCCAAAGATGTGGCCAGCAAATCCCCAGAAGGTAGGAAAGAGGCCTGGAACTGATTACCCTTCCCAGCCCTTGGAAGGATCCCACCCCACTGACACCTTGGTCTGAGACTTCCAGCCTCCAGAACTCTGAGAGAGTTAAGTTTCTGTCATTGAAGGCTCCCCATCTGTGGTGCTCTGTGAGACAGCCCCAGGAAGCGAATCCAGGTGGAAACACTGTACTGTGGAACCATGTGCCCCTCCCACCGCTCCCTGCCACTCCCCCTCCCCTAGCTCCTCATTCTTTGACTTCCTGTTGAGAGCTTGAAATCTACCAGAGTAGGCTGATTTGTAAACACACCCCACAAATAAGGGTTCGATTCATCATTTCCTTGGTTGTCTAGACAAGGGGTAGGTAAAGTACAGCCTGTGGGCCAAATCTGGGCCCCCTCTTGGTTTTGTAAAAGTTTTATTGGAACGTGGCTGTGCTCACTCCTTTATGTATTGTGCGTGGCCGCTTTCACCCTAAAAGGGCGAAAGGGCTCACAAAGTTGGCAATATTATCTGTCCCTTTAGAGGAAAAGTCTGCTGACCTTTGGCCTGCAGTTAAGAAAGTGATGTGGACAATGTTAAAAACACAGATAAAACTTTAAAGTGTGCCTCTGTGTAGCCATTACATTGTGATAGCACAGAAAATTGAGAAAATATGCTTCCTGTATTTGAAGACTATTATCTGATTCTGCAGAGAAGTTGCTCTTATCATGGACAAATGAGTGAAGTTCTGACATAGATCTTTGTCATTTTGCTCTCCTCTTGTTCAGCATATGTGTCAGGAATATCCTTGTTCGTCAGTGACAACCTTAGGGTTGGCAACAGACATGAGAGTTTGTGGAAAATCAGTGGAAGCGTCTGTGAGAATCAGTTGGCTATAGGGAATTTACTTGTGTGTAACAGACCTGTGTCTGTATACATATGCACATACCTATGTCCCCTGGAGAGCCTGTTGTTGAACATTTACCAGCACGCCGTGCCCCCAGCCTCCACGCAACACTCACAGCTGAGTAGAGGCCACCCAGTGTGTGGGTTTGTTGCCGTATGACTTTGGCCTTGGCTAGGTTTCACTACTGTGTCGATTTGGCTTGTCTAGAAGAGCACTGTTGGTGGAAGCAATTGCGGTAGAAAAGCTCAGGGGCACCAAGGAGCTTGGCCAAGCTAAAATCTGCTCTGGGCGAGGAAAATGCCAAGCATTCCCGGGTGAAGTGGACCTGCTGGCCCGCTGATGGAGGGGCTCAAAAGCAAATCCAAGTTCGGACTTGCTCCCACCAGCAGTGGAAGTCCTTATGCAAGGGGGTGACAGGGTGAACGTGCTGATTTAAGAAGACCTGTCTGGTGACAACATGAGGGACACATGGGGCAGAAGACCAGCTGGGGGCTATTGCAACCCGTGCCTTAGAAAAGCCTCAGAACGTGATGGCTCTGCCCGAGGCATGTGTTCTGGCATTTGAAAGGAAGACTGGCCAAAGGTTAAGAAACGGGATCGTTGCTTGTTTGTGGAAGTCTCAGTGGACCCCCAGAGCCTGCAAAACAGAAAAATAGAAAAGCAGTTCTGAAAAGCTTTTCCAAACGGCTGTCATGTGGCTTTCTACCATCCCTCTGCTGCTTTCTGGGTGTTCAGTAGAAAGGAAGAAATAGTTTTTCGGTAACTTTTGCTCAACCACAAACAGATATGCATGGAGGGTCTCACTTTAAAACCGAGACTGTGCATTTGCGGTAAATTGGGAGGGCTAGGGGCTCCCTGGAGACTATATGAGGGGGGTGCTCCCATAGCACCTTGGGTTCACCCCTCGCAGAGCCCTGCAACCTCTGCCCGGCCCTCCTGGCCTGTGAGAGCAGATGCTGAGGCCGTTTCCCACAGTGTAGCAAAGACCCAATAGCTGCCCGTGCCTTTGGGAACCTGTCACCACCCCCCTCACCCCAGCAAGGAAGTGACTTCAACCAGCATCTGTTCAGAGCCCCTTCCCCATTGGGAGCACCCATCCCTTGCCTCTTCCTTCTGAGCCCAGGTTGATTGAAGGCAGGAAGGATTCAAGGAGCTCTGGTTTGATGCTCTGGCACGAAGCCACCAGACCTCAGTTTGCTTCCTGCC